CGTGGGACATTCCTGTGGGAAACGGCTTCGTGTAGGAAGTCTGTTTCAGGCTCCCGGCATCCTGTCATCCTGATTTAAAGTATAAACACTTTTGAATATTGAGACTTGTGTTTTAAGTAATTAGAAAATTTCAGGGACAGTAAGCTTCACATAAAATTAAAACCTAAATAAAGCCTAAAGTTTTTAGAGAGTGATATAAAAATTTAATTTATATTTTTATTTGTTTTAATTTAGATAACTTACAACTGGGTGATATGACTGGCAAAAATTTACCTTTTCGTTTGAACTAAAATAATTTTATAAAGCCACCAGTTTATTCACTCTGGGCATAAAAATTTTTGATAAGAAATAGACTTATCAAGCTTTTAGCAACTAGAACACAGAAGGAATAAAATCATATGAAATTTGAAGTTAAATATTGGCAGTTTTAAGCAATTTAAAGATTGTTGGATGAAATTATTTGTCATTTATTGAAGTAAACATGGATACTGGCTATGAATTATAATGTTTTGTTGAATTTTGGGGTTCTCAACTTTCTGGCAGTTGTTACTTTTAAAGTTTAATTATGGAACCAAGATTGCTTTTCTACAAAATACATGGAACTGACCTTATTCTCAGTTTGGAGCTTTCTAATAACCAGTATACAAATGTACGATATGCTCTCTGTAGTGAGCCTTCCAGCTCAGTTGGTCGATAGCAGCTCTCCCGCCCTGCATGTTTAGTGCAACACATGCTCATCTGTGTCCCCGGGATTTTTTCAGCATTTACAATCTGGCTTCTCATATCCACGTACGTTTTGTTTCTAAATATATAATCTTGCTCTCCATGAAGGCTCTTCATCCCCTTTCCCACACATCTATTATTGCTGTTCAGTTAAATGTCTTCCACACATTTGATGGGCATATTTCTAATTCCTTTTTCAGATTATTTCCTGCAGGGGCCCTACCAGTGACCCCTGGACCTGGGAGTCAGTATAGCTCCCCAGGAGGATGAAGGGGACTCACACTTGAGCCCTCCGATTTCCCAGCTTTTTGGTGTTAGAGTGTGATGTAGTTTGGTTGATTCCATCATCCCTCCAGAAATTCTCAAAAATGTTTCAAAATACACTTAATTGGAATTTATGCTGTAAAATTTTTAAAAAGGACAATACTTGTTAAACAATGTATTAACTTTAAATTTTTATATTCTTGCTAACAAGATTTCAAAGGTACCCTTACTAGTAGGGGAGCAAGGAAAGAATATGAAGCCTGGAGTGTCATGGCCAGGCCTGAGGGAGCCATAGGGACCAGCAGTCGTTGCTAAGGTCCAAGTGGACATTCAGGCCATATCTGGCCTGCCCAGGCCAGTGTTGACATTCAAGCAGGTGAGAGTTCCAGGTGCATTGTCTCCAGGCAGTGGTAGTATTTAGTGTCTGGCAGGGGACAGTGTGGGACATAATAGGTAGATTCTCTAACATGAGGCAGGATGTTAGCCAGCCAGCCAGTTTGCAGGAGGTCGGACCTGCTTCAAGTTTGGAAGAAGACCAGCACTGCTAACTGTACTTCAAGAGAGGCTTGTTTCCAGCCAGGTTCCTGAGTTGCTGAAGGGGAGGTTGTGGCACAGTCCTAGTCATGAAGATTGCACAGATGCCATGGAGACTGGCAGGAAAGATGGAACTGCTGGGGTACGTACTCCAGACACCAAACTTGGGCTCCAGTTCTAAAGTTAGGTATGGCATCTTCAAGATACTAATTTTATTTCCTTTGGAGATAAACCCAGAAATGGGATTCCTGGATCATATGGTAGTTCTGTTTTTAATTTTTTGAGGAACCTCCATACTGTTTTTCATAGAGGCTGTACCAATTTGCATTCACACCAACCCTTTTCGCCACACCCTTGCCAACACATGTTATCACTTGTGTTTTCGATAATAGCCATCCTAACAGGTGTGAGGTGATATCTCATCGTGGGTTTGATTTGCATTTGATTATAGTCAATTTTAGAACATTTTCATCACCCTGAAAAAGACACCTGTACTCATTAGCAGTCACTCTGTATTCCTCCCCAAAGTCCCTAGTCTTAGACAGCCGCTAATCTGCTTTCTATAGATTTGTCTATATTGGAAACTTCATCTGAATGGAATCATACAATATGTGGTTTTTATATCTGGCTTCTTTCATTTAGCAAACTCTTTCCAAGATTCGTCATGTTGTAGCATGTGACAGGACTTCATTTTTTATTACTGAAAATGATTCCATTTTATATATATACCACATTTTATTTTATTTATCCATTTGTCAGCTTATGCACATTTGGGTTGTTTGTGGGTTTGGGCTATTATGGATAATTCTGCTGTACAGGTTTTTATGAGGCAAGGCCCAGGATTTTTTAAAGCTTCCCCAAGTAATTCTAATGGGCAGACAGGTTTGTGAACCACTAGTCTCAATGATTACATGACAACAGTGTTTGCCATTGGATTGACAACCACTTGGTCTGTCTCTCCTCTGCTTTACCTGTCGCTTAGGACAAAGCAGGGCATACTAGAGGCGCCCCCCCCCCTCCAATAATATTAGTTAAAAGAGAAAAGAAAAACCAAACCCTTTCAGATTAGAAATCCAATGAAAAGACTTGTCTTTTTATAATTAAGACACCATTTCACTAGGGATTCAGAATCCATACAGAGGTCTACCTTATCTTAAAACAATAAAAAAATAAAAATTTCTTCTGATAGTTTGTGTAGGTTTGTGTAGGTTATGGTTGTTAGTGGTCATGGAGCTAGTAAAACGGTGTCCCCTGCATGAATCCCAGAGTGAAGACTAGATTGAATCCAACATTGTCTCCAAATTAGTGTTGACCTTTCCTGAGTTCCAAGATCAATATTAATTATTGCTGTGCTATGTAATTATGAAAGTGCTATTTAATGTTCCACACTAGGGATATAGGTGGAGAGAGAAATGAACTTGAGTTACTACCACCTGTGGTTTCTAACTTAACTTTATAATTATGGTCATTTCCTCTTTGCAACACTATAGTTAGTATACAGGTGTCCTCCCTACCCACAGTTTTGCTTTCCATAGTTTTAGTGTGAAAATATTAAATGGAATATTCCAGAAGTAAATAATTTATAAGTTTAAGTCGTGTGCCCTTCTGAGTAGCATAATGAAATCTGTTGCTGTCCTGTTTCATCCTGCCCGTGATGTGAATCATTCCTTTGTCCGGTGCAATCATGCTGTATATGCTACCCGCCCATCAGTCACGTAGCGCCCGTCTTGGTTATCAGATAGGCTGTTGAGGTACTGCCGTGCTTGTTTCTTTCTTTTGGCTCTAAGGACATTCATCTAATTATGACGTGCCTGACACTGCGTATGATGTCATAGGATGTGCATACAACAAAAGGCTCTGCGGTTCAGTATAAAGAGCACTTGACAGAGAGCCAGCAGACCACTTCTGGTGCTGGCGCTGACATTTAGTATCTTTGAAGAAGTCATATAAAACATTTCTGGTACTCTATATTTTCCTCTGTAAAGTTTTAGTCAGAATAGTAGTAAAAGCCTTGCTTATTTCATAGAATTGTTCTGAGAGTCACTAAAAAAATGAATGGGAAAGAGCTTCATAAACTATAAACTGCTATGGGTATCAGATAATTTATTACAAAATGATGGATTGTCATTTGGACCTAACTGACAGACATGACTTGACTCAATAGACCAGGTAAGAAATCACACAATATTGGATTTCTAGTTTTCTAACTAGACAACCAAGAAAACAGGCTTTTGGCCTCAGGTGTGTGGGAGAAATGATGGAAAGAGGGAGCTTGAGGAAAAGATCCTTCGAAAGCTGTGTATAGAGTCCTACCTCAACTCCAAGCTGCTCACGCATGCAACTGACTCAGGACAACATGCTAAAGGCTTTGAGAATTGGCTATGAGGTGGACTACCACCAGGTCCGAGATTGACCACTTGAGTGATGCACAAGTGAGATAGATCCAAGAGCATTGCAAAGGCTTTGAAAATTCAAGTGATAAAACCATAGCCCACTGATGGCAGGTCAGAATGTATGGCCTGTACCAACCAGGTTAATCAGCAGCTAAAACTACAGAATAAACACTGACCAAACAAAACCCAGTGAATTATAATATGTAAAACATTTGGGAATAATAAAAAAATTGCTCAATATACAAAGAACCAGGAAAATCGCAACAACTTGCAAGAAAAACCAACCTCAAGATGGCTCAAATGTTACACTTATCCAACAATGACTTTATTAATCCTCACCTGAGGATATATTTCCATTGATTTCTAGAGAGAGTGGAAAGGAGGGGGAGGGACAGAGAAACATCAATGTGAGAGAGACATATCAATTGCTTGCCTCCCACATGCGTCCCAACTGAGTGAGGTACATGCCCTTGACCAAAATCGAATCCTGGACCCTTCAGTCTGCGATCTGTGGCTCTATCTACTGAGCCAAACCGGCTGGGGCCCGACCATGACTTTAATAAGCTGTAATAGCTGATTTAAGAGGGAACAATGTTCCCCTGGCCAGTATGGCTAACTTGGTTGGGCATTGTCCTGTGCACCAAATGGTTGCTGGTTCGATTTCCAGTCAGTGTATATGTCTGGATTGCAGGCTCAACTCCTGGTAGCAGGTGTGCAGGAGGCAGCCAATGCTCTTACATTGATGTTTCTCTCTCCCACTTTCTAAAAAAATCAATAAAATAAAAAAAGAGAGAGAGAGTGAAATGAATGGAAAAGTAGAACTTATCTGCAAAAAACATACATAAGCTATAAGAAAGAACCATGGAGGTATTGTGGAATGGGGAATTATTTAATGGATATAGTTTCAGTTTTGCCAGATGAAGAGTTCTGAAGATTGGTTGCACCCAATATGAAGGTATTTAACACTACTGAACTGTATACTTAAAAATGATTATAATGGTAAATTTTGTGTATTTTATCACATTTTTAAAAAAAGGAATAAAGTAAACTGATATGTACTTATCTAGGAATATATCCATAATGCATTTCTAAGTAAAAATAAAGCATGTTTTAGAGTGGGAGGAAAAACAAATTGATATGTAAGAACTGAAAACTGCAATAATTGCAATAAAAAATTCGCTAGATGGGCACAATTACAGAATGGAGATGACAGAGGAGTCATTGAACTTTAAGATCAATATCAAAATCAATATATGTTACCCACTCGAATAACAGAGAAGAACAACTGAAAAAAGTTATCAGAGCTTTATGTACCTGTGGAACAATTTCAAAGGAATAAAATGTATGTCTTTGGAGCCCCAGAAAAAGAGGAGACACTGGTATAGGTAACTATTGAAAGAAATAAAGGATGAATTGGCAAAGGCATGGCTGTAGTGATTCAAGAAGCTTAGTAGACCCCAAACAAGATAAACTAAAATAAGCAAACAAACAAAAAGCTGTCCAGATGCATTATAACCAAACAGCTGAAAATTAAAAATTTTTGAGAGAGAAAAATGTTGCATTACATATAAAGGTAAAATGATTCTAATGATTATGGATTTCTTATCATAGAGGCCAGAAAGCAGCTGAACAAAGAAATATCAACCTGGAATTCTATATTCTGTTAAATATCTTTCAGGAATGAAGGCATTCTCAGATGAAGGGAAAATAAGAGAATTTGTTACCAATGTATGTGCTTAAAAAAAAAAAAAGCTAAAAAACACGTTGTTCAGATAGAAGGGAAATGACACCAGAGGGACACCTGAAACTTCAGAAATGAAGAAAGCAACAGAAATAACAAATATATGGGTAAATATCATACTTTTTACTCCTCTTGAGTTTTTTAAAATATGTATAATAAAAAATAATAGTTGCAAGCAAACAGAATGATAGGATTTTTAGTGTATACAGATGTGATACATCTGATATCTACAACATAAAGAGTGGAATATAAAGGGACTTGTATGGTTGAAAGCTTCCTGAATTTTATTTGGAGTGGTAAAATATTAATAAGTAGACTATAAAAGTTAAGTATGTATATTTTAATCATTAGAACAATCATAAAATATTATACAAACTATACTTTTAAAATCTAAGAGATAAATTAAAATAGAAAATGAAGAGATATTTAAATAATTGCAAAGAAACCAGAAAAGGAGCAACAGGAATGAAGAAAAGGAGGGGACAAACTGAAAACAAAAAATAAGATGATGGATCCAACCATGTATGTTCAATATAAATGTTCTAGAAATAACATTTAAAATAGTTTGTCACTTTGGTTAAATACGTAAGTCATAATTATATACACTTTCTAAGAAGTTCACTTTAAATAATATGAATAAGTAGAAAGATAGAAAAAAATGTATCATGCAAAAACTATATTAATCAGACAAAAGTAAACCAGAACATGGAAAATTAACAAATATAATGAAGTAAATTATATATAATAAAATGGTCAATTCACAGAAGACATAACAATCCTGAATATGTATATAGCTAACAACAGAACTTAACAATATATAAAGCAAGAACTGATAGAACTGAAAGAAATAAAATAGATAAATTCACAATTATAAACACTTCAACAGTCCTCTTAGTAATCAATAGAATAAGTAGACAGAAAACCAACAAGAATATAGAAGTCCTGAATGACACTCAATCTACCCGATCTGATTTTATAGAATACTAGAGGCCCGGTGCACGAAATTTGTGCATGGGGTGGGGGTGTGTGTCCCTCAGCCCAGCCTGCACCCTCTCCAATCTGGAACTCCTCGAGGGACATTCCTCTCACAATCCAGGACTGCTGGCTCCCAACCGCTCACCTGCCTGCCAGCCTGATTGCCCCTAACCACTCCCCTGCCAGCCTGATCAATGCCTAACTGTTCCCCTGCTGGCCCAATTACCCCTAACTTCCCTCCCCTGCTGGCCCAGTTACCCCTAACTACCCTCCCCTGCAGGCCTGGTTCCCCCCAACTGCCATCCCCTGCCAGCCTGGTCCCCTCCAACTGCCATCCCCTGCCGGCCCAGTCACCCCTAATTGCCCTCCCCTGCAGGTCTTGCTCCCCCCAACTGCCCTCCCCTGCAGGGCTGGTCACCCCTAACTGCCCTCCTCTGATGGCCCCCAACTTCCCTACCCTGCCGGCCAGCTTGTGTCCACATGGGGGCGGTCATCTTGCATGTTGGAGTATGGTCAATTTGCATATTACTATTTTATTAGATAGGATTCTACTCCAAAATAGTAGAATATATGTTTTGTTCAAGTGCATGTGTAATATTGACCATGAAAGGCCATAAAACAAACCTTAACAAATTTAAAAGAATTAAAATAATTCAAAATATGTTCTTTCACTAAAGTGGAAGTGAACTAAAAATTAGTAACAAAAATGTCAGGAAATATCCATAAATATCAAAGTTAATAGACTTAAAAATGAAGATAATTCTGACACATGCTACAACTTGGATGAATCTTGAAGACATTTTGCTAAGTGAAATAAGCTGCATAAAAGAAGACACATATTGTATGATTCCACTTATATGAAGTGCCCAGAGCAGTCGAATTCATAGAATGGTGGTTCAGAGATTGGAGTAATGGGGAGTTATTGTTTAAAAGGTACAGAGCTTCTGTTTGGGATGGAAAAAGTTCTAGAGATGGATAGTGGTGATGGTTGCACAACAATATGAATGTACCAATACTACTGAACTATATACACTTACAAATGGTTAAAATGGCAAATTTTATGTATATATATTTTTATGTATATTTTACACAATAAAAATAGATCAGATAATGTTGCTTTACACAGGTCTTGATTTAGAAATACTGGGAAAATGTCTTATGTGTTTCCTATTTAAGTTCACCTTGAGTTCTTTAAAGAACAAAGAGCTTAATCTAGTAAAAAATAGTCATTTATGATTTCTGCATAATATGTTGCCATAGAACTTAATCACAAAATAAATTAAAATAAACTCTAAGTGCAAAAAGCTTGATTTAAATGCTTCTGCCAAGCCCTGGGCAACATGAAAAGCAGTATTTCCTCCCATAATTAATTACAGAAAAATCACAGATGGTTACATAATTTCTGTGATTCTTCTGAAGATACAAAAGCCAAATGTGGAGGAAAGAATGCTCTGGGCTCTGTTGCTTTGCAAGGACTTGATCAGGCTGTGTCCTGGGAGGACTACAGTAGAGATTTAGAAGGTGTGGAATTTGTTCCCAGGATAAATGAGCTGCTCAATAATAAAATGTTCTTGTTTTGTCCAAGTAAGCCATATCTGAACTTGAAATATCCCTTGAGCCAGCCCAATTCTAGATAAGAAGGAGAACCTGAAATGGTAGGAGGACAGTTAAAAATCCTCTCTGCACTTGGGAGGACTTAGAGCTGAGGGGGGAAAAGGGGAGATTGAACTCAGTAAATGGAATTTTTATGGCCGTTTTATATTGTTTTTGATATAGTTTTGTTGTTTATTGTAAAAATTTTAATATAAGAAGAAAACAAATGCTATTGTATGTTTACTTGGTTCTTCAGGTGGCTTATCATCATAGGGTAAATGGTAAGGTGTGGCTATTATGCTCTTAATGGCAATAGAAAAATTCAACAAAAGCCTAATGCTGAGTTACAACTGTATGTGACCATAGTGAAATGAATAATGGCTAAATGACACATTCCATCTTTTTGGTAGGTTGAATTATCATTTAAAATATTTGTTGCCCCTCCTTGAGCTCACCTTCCTACAGGAGGATTTCCCTGGCTATTGAACTCATATGCAGCCAAATGATCTGCTTTAGGCAGTAAATTGTGAGCTGAATGACATGTGTCACATGTGAGCAGACACATGGAGAACCAGCATTTGTTTCACTATGTCTTTTATTCCTATGTTACAAGACCAGCAGCATCCCATAGCTGCTTTATGAGCCTGGGTCTGTGAGTAGACCCAAGTTGAAGCAGACCCATGATAAACATGTAACACGAACAGGAAATAAACTCCTGTTTACTTGGGCCTGTTTGTTCCTGCAGCATTACTTAGCCTAGTCTTACTGTTGCATGTTTCCATCCACATAACAACATTAACATTCATGTCATCTGTATAACATTTTGCTTAGGCGTTTTAACCTATTTACACTTCCCCAAAGGCCAGATTTACATAATTTCCTCTGACTTCCTTGATAATAGAATCCCAACTTCATTCTAGCTGTAATGTGCTCAACCCCAACAATGTGCCCAACTAATAGTTTGTTAGTCTACCCGTGGTCGGCAAACTGCGGCTCGCGAGCCACATGCGGCTTTTTGGCCCCTTGAGTGTGGCTCTTCCACAAAATACCACGTGCGGGCGCACATACAGTGCGATGGAAAGTTTTTGGCCCATGCGCAGAAGTCAGTTTTCGGCCTGGGCGAGTCTATTTTGAAGAAGTACTGTTGATATTTGGCTCTGTTGACTGAGTTTGCCAACCACTGGTCTAAGCCAATCATAGCAACTCCATTACTCATCGAGAGGAATTGATATAAGGATGAATATGTAACTCAGTTTGGAACCAGGAGATTTAAAGGGAATCTGCTGGAGAATTCAGGGGAAATTTTTCCTTTCTGGGAAGAGCAGCATGCAAAGAGAAAGTTGTTTTTGTCCCCTTTCTTCCACTTTTAGCTTTTGAAAGCTGTAAAGTAACAATGTGATACTTGGAAGTGTGACAGTGAGGATTCACACCAATGTGCTGAGAGTAGTGGAATCCCAGATAGAAAGAGCTGGGGTTCTTGATGACATAATAGAATCACCGAATAAACCTTCAGATTGCTTACCTGGGCTTCTTAGTGAACTACTAATGTCCTTATAGTTTAAGCCATAAGTCTGATTTATCTATTGCCTGCTGCTAAAAGCATCCTAATGGATACAACATGTGTGGACAGAGCATTGCTCGCTTGGCCAGGGGTTCACCTTTATGATTGCCCTGGATAGGCCTTGGGCTTTTTTAAGCTACAGTGGAGGTTTTACTTAATTTGGCTTCCAAGTGCAGCTCTAACCTTAATGAAGTTCCTCTTTGGTGTATGGACTGAAAGCAGCTCTCCCTGTGGCCATCTGGTTTAGGGTCCTGTTTCTCTAGGTAGTACCAGAAGCTACCTGGGCCTAGTGTTTCACCCAAATGGGGAAATAATTTTTTAACCACAAGCCTCATTATGAGATTTTTCCAACAAAAGATAGTCAAGCCAGAAGAGCTACCAATGCCATTGTCTTGAGCACTCACTGTTATATTGTATTCTAACGCTGCAATATTGCTGGAGGCAAAAATGACTAAACTGAAACTGTCCTGCTTCAGGAACATCATGAGAAGCCAGAGTTCTTTGGAGAAGACTACTGTGCTGAGGAAAACAAGGCAGCAGGACAGGAGGAAAACCACACATGACATAAGAAGCCACAGGCATGAGTCTACAGGAGCCGAGACTCATTCCTCACCAGGAGTCGGAGCTGGTTCAGCTGCAAGTAGCACAGGGCTGCCACAAAAATGAGTGCATGGGACCTCGTGGCTTAGTCTCGAGGAGCATTCTGAGGGTCACTCTGAGGCAACGATTTTCCTCCACTCCCTCACTGTCCTGGGCAGCAGCAGCCACCACAGGGTAAATCGTGGATTTAGGCAAGAAGGCATCTAAATGCTCAGCGTAAGTCTGGTCGTTTCCTAATTTCTTTGAACAACCTCCATTTGGGCATTCTGTTAGCCATTATTTCCAGATGTCCCTTGTTTTTATTTTACTTTTCTATTCCACACACAATGTTTTGCTATTTTTAATCTTTTTCTTATGTCTATGTTTGTGTATCCTAGAAAAGGTCTCAGAAATATGATCATTCTTTAATTTTTCTAAGTCTCTATTGTTGTTGTCATAGTGGACTATGACTTCTGAACATTATGTAGGAATGTTACTTTAATTTCAGGCTTCTGAAACATAAATATCTCAATTCTTTTAATACTTTCTTTTTTATCTCCATTTTACATATATTTCACTTTTGCTAAAAAATGTTGCTTTGATACATGGTCTTCCTTTTTATTGTCTGTGCTACCATGTACTTATTTTCACCTTGTAAATAAGAGAGAAATCTATAAAACCTGTACAATTATTTAAACCAATCCTAGTAGCTATTTTGAGAAATTCCACTAAGAACAGTTAAATTGCTGTTAAGCTAATATAGTTTTTTCTTGAATGGTCCAAATTTACAGTAATCAAAATGAATTTGTATTTTCAGTTTGTATTATTAATTATAATTTGCCTAGTATAAATTGGATAGTAATTGACTGTATTTGCAGTTTTCCTCCACTTTTTATATCCCCTGTTTTATAGTTAGACTGCCTGTAGGCCAAATTTTGTTGCTACTCGGCACCACTGAGTTTTTTGCATTCTTTCTTAGATTTATGCCTTGAATCAGAAAAGTTTTACTAAAAAAATATGTTTCTGCATATTGTTCCATAAAATTTCTTTGGATGTACTAACACGCCGAGCTCTTAAGGTGTTTAATGGTTATTTCACCTTGTTGACTTACTGTGATTTTTTGTTGTTGGAGCATTTCCATTCTTCCATCAGCTCACAAAAACCTTGAAGCATCTGTGCTTGGGAGAGGGTGGTCACGTGGAAATGAAAAGCATATTTAACTGCTTTGTTGCTGCATATTGTGTGACGAGAATCATAGGCCCTTGATGTTCCAGAGAGCCAATGGTGGGCAGTCAGCTTGGTTTCTAACAGCCTGTGTACCAGCTGATTACCTGAAATGTATTTCCCCATGGAAACAAGGTTAAGGAGGGGCACTTAGGTTTCTAGGTTAATAAATAAAACCTGTTTCACCCAGGAAACAACTAAAGTTCTGTACATTGCAATGGTTAAGAGCAGACTATTGCTATTCTTAAGTAGCCAGAAAAGCAGTGCAATTGAATAAGGAAAAAGCTTTTTAAAAAAACATTTGTTGAACGCTGATTGTCAAGGAAAAACAATTTTAACTAGATGAAGGTGTAGAGAACTACTCATGATAATTCCAACAGTGGAAGGACAAATGGCATGTATTTATTATGTTTCCCTTTATAATAAACAGCTGACATAGTTTCAAAATATTCTTCAATAAGCATTATTTTTTAAATTTATACTTATTGATCTGAGCGAAGGGAGACATCAATTTGTTGTTCCACTTATTTATGCATTTATTGGTTGATTCTTGTATGTGCCTTGACTGGGATCAAACCCACAATCTTGGAATAGCAGGATAACGCCCTAACCAACTGAGCTACCCAACCAGAGACAATGAGCATTGCTTTTTAATTATTAGGTCAAAGATGCTGATAATTAAATAAGAAAGGTTTAAGAAGTGAAAAACATTATGGCGTTCTTCTTGCCTGAGACAGTTGTATCACAGCTACTTTTGATTTAATGGAGCGGTCATGGCTTTAATTTCCTTTGGTCCTTTCATTAATGGAACAGAAGACTACTGATTGTCACCAGGTGACAGGTGCTGCTCTAGGCTCAGAGAATACAGCAGCAAACACGGGAGAAAAAGGTCTGGTTGGCTTATAGAGAGAATGAAGAACCTCTTTGGGAGGGGTTTTCTATGGGAATGAGGTAGGGAAGAAAAAGGTGAAGGAGGAATGGAATGACTGAGAATGAGTGAATCCCCTGGGAATAGAAGAGGACAAAGGGAAGAAGGTAACCCCAGAATGTTGGACTCAGGGGAGAGTAGGGAGGAGAGAACTTGGGTAAACAGTGATGTGCTTAAGCCAAGGGTTGAACAACTTGTGTGACCTAGGGGGAGAAGAGTGAGAAGGGGCAGGGAGCCAATTTCAGCATAAGTAAGGGGGGGGGGGCATGTTTTGCAGATTATTCTTTAGAAACTATAGGAAGTGAAACAAGGGGAAAGAATAGGCAGGCTGATTTGGCAGAGATTTTGCTCATAAATTCCATCGTTTCAGAGAGTAAATCATAAGGAATAATGTGAGAAATGTCCAGAAGTTTCAATTTAGATCTATTTTTTTTCACAGTAAGATGCTATTTTATATTTGTGATAATGTGTGATTACAAATTGTCAAATATATTTGGAGGGACAGAGTTGGAGAGAGCTAGTTAAGTAATGGGGACCCAGGAACAGTAAATAAAAAAGAAGTGGCTCTCCATGCAGGGTGGGTGGAACCAGCTTACAAACTGACCACTTGCTCCCCCGCACTTGCAGCTTCCTATGATTGCATTGATTTTTATTGATATACATTCATGTTCACTTTCTGGAGTTCCTGACATTTAAAAAAAATATTAAAGTAATTCAGATTCACCCCATTACTACACCGGTGGAAAGATGGCCCCACCACATGTAGTTCCCTCATGTGGTTAAGAGCATGGGCTCTGGGGTCAGAACATCTGGATTTGCGTCCTGACTCAAAGGACAGTCATTTCTGTGTTGTGCGGTTTTGTGCAAGTTACTTAATTTCTCTGGGCCTCAATTCTTCATGTGTGAAATGGCTTAATAATAGCACCTAGATCCTTGGGTTACTCTGGAAATTGAATGGGTAATGTATATGAAGCTCTTAGAAAAATGTCTGGCCTCAAGTAGTGTTAGTTTTAAGAAGCAAAATAAAACTTTTAAAAATTCCCACACCAATTACTTATATTAACAAAAGCAAGAGCGAAAGTTGCTGCATGCATATTAATCTGCATTCAGAAACTTTCTAGTAAATGCTTTCAATCAAAATGATTAGAAGCTGGCTCCGCAACCGGGGCTCAGCCCAACCCCAGCACCGACTGTCAGAGGAGCTCACGTCTGTCACACCTGCTTCACTTCAGGTCCTTGACTGGCACACAGCTGTTGACTGTACTGTGCTAAAGCAATATCAGGAGTACAAACAGAAGTGCTCTTGGCCTTCCTACTCAAAGATGGTGAAGATTTTTATCTGTGTGTTGATGTAGCTGAATTTCTTTTAAGTAGGTCCACAGAGGAAAAAAAAAAAACCACTCAGAACTTTCCCTTTCTTTGGATGCCTTCCTTCTTGCACAGTTTATGTGGAACAAAAAAATGTCTCTCCAGCCAGATATGGCCCCACATAAGCCAGTGAGGTAACTGAGTTCATTCTTGGGGCATTTCCTACCTGGACTTCAACCCCAATCGGAGCCCTGTTGCCAAACATGCCCTGTAACCACCCTCATCCTCAGCTTTGTCTTAAGGAAAATCTCTATTTGAACTTATGTAAACAGGTAAATGTCAGAGGCCAGACATTCAGCTCCCTACCTCTGACAAGCATGCCTGTCTCTTGCTCTTCTATGAAAGGCCTCTCTTGCTTTCTCTCTGTCCGTATAGCCAAAATACGCCACCGATTCCAAAGGGATTTGGAGGATCACCAATAATGAAGTGGACACCAAATGAAATCTTTTTCATCATAGTTGGAGTGCCCGTTTATGGGCAGCTTTGTGTTCACCAAGGCCACTGGCACCAAAAAGCAATTACAGAAGTTCTGCGATTGGATGCTTGCCCACTCCCCTAAACAGTCATTTTTCTATTTTAAAAAATCACATACATTTTTTTTGAACCCTCATGCACTGTTGGGGGGAATGCAGATTGGTGCAGCCACTATGGAAAAGAGAATGGAGCAGCCTCAAAAAAATGGAACTCTCTTACGACCCAGAGATTCCACTTCTGGATATTTATAAAAAAAAAACCCAAAAGAACAAACAAAAAAAACACCCCCCAAAACACTATTTCAAAAGAATATATGCACCCCTATGTTCATTTCAGTATTTACAATAGTCAAAATCTGAAAGCAATCCAAGTGCTCATCAATAGATGAGTGGATAAAAAAGTTGTTGTACATTTATACATTACTTGGCTGTAAAAACAAAAAAGAAATCTTACCGTTTGTGAAGGCATGGATGGACCCTAGGAGATATTATGCTCAGTGAAATAAGTCAGAGAAAAACAAATACCCTATGATTTCATTTATGTGTGGAATCTACAGAACAATATAAACCAACAAACGAAATTAAAACAGACACATAGATGCAGAGACTGGACTGATGATTGCCAGAGGGGAGGGGGTCGGGAGACCGGGTGAAAAAGCTGAAGGGATTAAGAAGTACAAACTGGTAGTTACTGAATAGTCACAGGGATGTAATGTACAGCATAGGGAATATAGTCAATAATATTGTAACAATTATGTATGGTGCCAGGTGGGTACTGGAAATATCAGATGGGA